TGTTCTTCTCATTATAGGGGATTGGAATGCTAAAGTAGGGAGTCAAGAGATAAAAGGAAGAACTGACAAGTTTGGCCTAGGAGATCAAAACGAAGCAGGGCAAAGGCTAATAGAGTTCTGCCAAGAGAACAAGCTGGTCATCACAAACACTCTTTTCCAACAACACAAGAGACGACTCTACACATGGACATCACCAGATGGGCAGCATCGAAATCAGATTGATTATATTCTCTGCAGCCAAAGATGGAGAAGCTCTATACAGTCAGCAAAAACAAGACCTGGAACTGACTGTGGCTCAGATCATCAGCTTCTTATAGCAAAATTCAAGCTTAAACTGAAGAAAGTAGGAAAAAGCACTGGGCCGGTAAGATACAATCTAAGTCAAATCCCTTATGAATACACAGTGGAAGTGAGGAACGGGTTTAAGGATTTAGATTTGGTGGACAGAGTGCCTGAAGAACTATGGATGGAGGCTCATAACATTATACAAGAGGCAGCAACTAAAACCATCCCAATGAAAAGGAAATGCAAGACAGCAAAGTGGCTGTCCAACAAGGCCTTACAAATAGCGGGTGAGAGAAGGCAAGCAAAATGCGAGGGAGATAGTGAAATTGAATGTAGATTTCCAAAAAATAGCAAGGAGAGACAAGAAGGCCTTCTTAAACGAGCAATGCAAAGAAATAGAGGAAAACAATAGAATGGGAAAAACCAGAGATCTGTTCAAGAAAATTGGAGATATGAAAGGAACATTTCGTACAAAGATTACCATAATAAAGGACAAAAGTGGTAAGGACCTAACAGAAGCAGAAGACTTCAAGAAGAGGTGACAAGAATACACAGAGGAATTATACCAGAAAGATATGGATGTCTTGTACACCCCAGGTAGTGTGGTTGCTGACCTTGAGTCAGACATCCTGGAGAGTGAAGTCAAATGGGCCTTAGAAAGCACTGCTAATAACAAGGCCAGTGGAAGTGATGACATTCCAGCTGAACTATTTAAAATTTTAAAAGATGATGCTGTTAAGGTGCTACACTCAATATGCCAGCAAATTTGGAAAACTCAGCAGTGGCCAGAGGATTGGAGAAGATCAGTCTACATCCCAATCCCAAAGAAGGGAAGTGCCAAAGAATGCTCCAACTACCGCACAATTGCACTCATTTCACACACTAGCAAGGTTATGCTTAAAATTCTACAAGGCAGGCTTAAGCAGTATGTGGACCGAGAATTCCCAGAAGTGCAAACTGGATTTAGAAGAGGCAGAGGAACCAGAGACCAAATTGCAAACATGCACTGGATTATGGAGAAAGCTAGAGAGTTCCAGAAAGACATCTACTTCTGCTTCATTGACTATGGAAAAGCCTTTGACTGTGTCGACCACAGCAAACTATGGCAAGTTCTTAAAGAAATGGGAGTGCCTGATCACCTCATCTGTCTCCTGAGAAATCTCTATGTTGGAAAAGAAGCTACAGTTAGAACTGGATATGGAACAACTGATTGGTTCAAAATTGGGAAAGTAGTACGACAAGGCTGTATATTGTCCCCCTGCTTATTTAACTTATATGCAGAATTCATCATGCGAAAGGCTGGGCTGGATGAATCCCAAACCAGAATTAAGATTGCCGGAAGAAATATCAACAACCTCAGATATGCAGATGACACAACCTTGATGGCAGAAAGTGAGGAGGAATTAAAGAACCTTTTAATGAGGGTGAAAGAGGAGAGCACAAAATATGGTCTGAAGCTCAACATCAAAAAACGAAGATCATGGCCACTGGTCCCATCACCTCCTGGCAAATAGAAGGGGAAGAAATGGAGGCAGTGAGAGATTTTACTTTCTTGGGCTCCATGATCACTGCAGATGGTGACAGCAGTCACGAAATTAAAAGACGCCTGCTCCTTGGGAGAAAGGCGGTGGCAAACCTAGACAGCATCTTAAAAAGCAGAGACATCACTTTACCAACAAAGGTCCGTATAGTTAAAGCCATGGTTTTCCCAGTAGTGATGTATGGAAGTGAGAGCTGGACCATCAAGAAGGCTGATCGCCAAAGAATTGATGCTTTTGAATTATGGTGCTGGAGGAGACTCTTGAGACTGGACTGCAAGAAGATCAGACGTATCCATTCTTAAGGAAATCAGCCCTGAGTGCTCACTGGAAGGACAGATCGTGAAGCTGAGGCTCCAATACTTTGGCCACCTCATGAGAAGAGAAGACTCCCTGGAAAAGACCCTGATGCTGGGAAAGATGGAGGGCACAAGGAGAAGAGGACGACAGAGGACGAGATGATTGGACAGTGGTCTCGAAACTACAAACATGAGTCTGACCAAACTGCGGGAGGCAGTGGAAGACAGGAGTGCTTGGCGTGCTCTGGTCCATGGGGTCATGAAGAGTCGGACACAACTAAACGACTAAACGACTAAACAACACCCTTTATCACTCCCACTCAACCAAGCAGCAGGGCTTCATGGGGTGCGGTTTGGATGCCATTTGCTTGCTTTTACAATTGCACACTCACTAGCTCGGGTCCGCTGCTTTAGTTTGTTGTTGTTAGGTGTTGGGTTCGAGGGGGCCGCCATCTTAGCTGCGGCCACTCGATCACCAGTCGCCATCTTAATTTGGTCACACTATTCACCATGGCCACCATAGTGGGACCACATGGGCAGAAACATCCATTGTTATTGCTCTAGTGCCCTGCTCTGTTTATTAACAACGCAAGAACTAGGCAAACAAATAATATGTTATATCTTTACTTGGAGTTTATTTATTGACCCAGCTCCCATCTGTGGTTTAATTCATTGCACAGACTCTGCCTTCTCAGTTTATTGCAGTATTAATACCGCTTTGATTTTATACTTTCACTGCCTTTTAGTTTATAACAGCTGCTATTGCTTTGTGTTTATAGCCTAGGTCTTGCCGTGTGCTCTTCCTGGCTAGTTTAATTTAATTTGCTGCCTTTTAACAGCATTTGGAGCAATTAATTTCTGCTAATCACTAGCAGCCTGGGAGTTGCTATTTGCCCTGCCTGGCTTATTTATTCATCTGCTGTTAACTAGTTTCCTTATTTTGCTCTTTCACTGGAAGGTTTATCTGCTGGTTCGTTGCTCCTGAGAATTTATTAAGTTTATTAAGAGTTCATTTCTTTAATGCAACATTTAATTCTATTTACTCAGTAATTTTATTGGTTAATTTGGTTAAGTTTGCAGTTGCTTTTGAAATTCATTCGGGGTATTTGGCAGCTTAATAATATTGGGATATAGTGCCTTTCAATTGATATTGCTTATTTAAAGTTTAAACTCCTTGTCAATACATATTAGCTCAGAGTTGCTCACTAATCTGTGGGGGCAGACGTGGTTGCCTTTATATTCCAATTGCTGGCAGTGTATACAATACTGAACTAGGCTTGCCAGTGCAGGTGGTGCTGAGCTAATCAAAGCGAAAAGGTTTTCTTTGGCTACTCTTGAACTGTGGTTTTTAGTTGTTGTCTCATGGTGCCCAGAAGGAAGCAGGCAACAGCAACCCCCGGCACTGGGTCAAAACGTGTACCTGCGACCAGGTCCCAGTCACAGTCTGCCCATTTGGGTAGAGGTTCTTCTTCACTTGCAGGACAGGCGGTAGGGCAATTAGGGTTTGCATTGGTGGGTATGGCCAAAGACCTGCAGGCAATGTCTCAGTTTTTCGCAGAATTTGATACTTTGATGGATCAGTTTAGGCCTCAGGCTACAAGCCAAGCTGTCGACTTACAGCCTACCCCTGATTTTATACCGGGCACCATAACCAGTGCCTCCAGTTTGTCTCAGACCTGCGATGAATCTGAGGACCTGCCTAGTACATCCCCAGCTTTATTTAGTGACTCACAGCTTTCTGGTTGGTTATCCCAGCCTAGGTCAGTGGCAACAAAAACCCATGGTAATCCGCCCTCTACCGCGTTGCAGCAGCGTTACACTATAGATACTTCCAATGCCCAGCTGGGGGTGGCAGTGCAGACACGGCATCCCCGTGCCGGGATCACCCGATCCACTCGTAAGGTTGCTTCTCCCCCTCCTTCCCAGTCGTCCTCTAGTTGGCAACTCCCTTTAACTTCCTCTAGTCTCGCACAGGCTGATGCTGTGTCACAGGTCCTGGGCTCATACACATGGGGGGGGAATGAGCTCCCACTTCCAGACGCCACCAAGGCCCCCAGAAAATGACCGCATAAGAAGCATTCCAGCAAGAAGAGCAAGAGGTCCAGGGATGATGACTCGGATACAGATTCAGGTACTTCTTTCAGCTCCGACTCTGATAGTGATGAGTCACAAGACTTTCACTGGGGTCAAGGGGAGGGAGTTCCTGGTTTACCATTATGGGTCTGGAATATGAGACCTAATTCGCATCGCAAAAAGTTTGGGGGGATTTTGGAATGCAAGGATGGGGCCCTGGTGGAGGATGTTAAGATGTCCACTAACACACCCAGGGACATTATCCTTGGTAACCACCTTTTATCAAAAACCATGGCAAAAATATTGACTGGCCAATACGTTAACATTTTAAAATTAGTCCCACCTGACCAGTTTCAGGGTAAAGCTGAAAAGAAGCGCAGTTATGGGAAGCGTAAATCTAAGACATCCAGAGTTGACAGGACTTTTGGAAAGTGGTTAGATGGCTTTCAAAGTGTTTTTGTGCATAGTGGAGGCGGCCTTGTTGGGATACTGCCAGGGAGATAAAGTCCATCAAGGCCCCCAAGCCGTCTGCCGGACGATCCATCGACCTCCCGTAGGCACGCAGCGACATGAGTTTCTAGAAAATATCTTGCCACATTCCAGAGCTCATGCACGCTCTATCAGCAGATAATGCACAGCCAAAAAGTTGCACTCAGGAGAGCATTATTTACAAGTTTATTCAGCGTTGATCAGAACACAGAAAAACATGACTGCCTGCTTTAGTGTCTACGACACCGAGAGAAAACGAAAGCAATAGCAAACATAAACATCCTGTGAACAGGAAATACGCAGACTCTGACTCACAGCCTGCTCCCTTTTAAGGTGGAACGGAAATATCCTAACATCCTCCCCCTTTCCGTGTAACCTGTAGTACCTGTGGTTCAACCCAATTGCAACCTTTGTACGTAAACCTTAAGTTGTTCTCTGTTAACAACCTTAGACAACAGATCAGCAGGAATTTCATTTCCTGGCATGTAGGACACCTGAATGAGTCCTTTCTGAATACACTCTCTTGCACGATGTAGCTTAATCTGCAAGTACTTGGTTCTTTGCTTGCAACTCTCTGAGTTCAGCAAAGCCAAACACGATCTATTGTCTTGATACACTTGTACAGGACATTTCACAGAAACTCTGATGTCCTTAAACAGTTGCATCAACCATTCACAATCCATGAGTGAAAATGACAGAGCATTGAGTTCTGCTTCACAGGAACTTAGGCTCACTGTCGTCTGCTTTTTGCACAACCAGTCAAACAGGCAGTGGTTGTACATGTAGCATACTCCAGAAGTGCTTGTACCATCCGTGGTGTCACTTCCAAAACTTGCATCTGCAAAGATTTCAAGACCTCCAGTCTTCTGACTGGTGAACCTCAGCCTGTAGTGCAAAGTCCCTTTCAAATAGCGGGCTATGCGCTTCAGAGCTTTCCAATCCTGAACAGTAGGATTGTTGGCATGTCTGCTAAGCAAGTTAGTGCTTACAGCTATGTCAGGTCTTGAGCATCTAGCAATGAAATTCAACTTGCCTAGAATGCATCTGTACAGCATTGTGTCAGAAAACGCTTCAGCAGTACTATCTACCTGGTAACCTGTCACCATCGGTGTGTCTGCTGGGTTTGCATCAACCAAATTCAACCTGGTTAAAACATCAGCAATTTTCTGTGTTTGGTGTACCAGAAAATTACCTGCTTGGTCCCTCTCCACCTGCAGAGAAAGATAGTTGGATACCTCACCAAGATCCTTCATGTCAAAGTGCTCCTTCAGCTGAGCTAGGGTGCTTTGGTACAAAGCCTGATTCTTCCAAAACATCAGAAGATCATCAACAAAACATAAACAATACAGTTTGTTTTGCCCCTCCTCCTTGACAAACACACATGGATCAGCTTTGCCCTGGTGAAAACCTAGAAAGCAACGTCTCAGTGAGTTTTGTGTTCCAACACCTAGCACTCTGCTTGAGACCATATAAGGATTTCCGCAGTTTACAGACCATTCCCTTCTGTATCTGCATCCCGTCAGGTGGAAGCATAAACAGCTCCTCCTCCAAAATCCCGTACAAAAAAGCTGTATTAATGTCATGATGGGAAACATGCAGTTTCTCCTCCGCAGCGATCTTGAGCATCAGCCGAATGCTCTCATACTTGACTGTGGGTGAGTAGGTCTCATGGTAATCCTGTCCTGGTACCTGTGAAAAACCTCTGGCAACCAATCTGGCTTTGTGTCTAACTACCTTGCCATTCTGGTCTGTCTTGGCCTTGAAGACCCATTTGCTGCCAACCAGTCTCATTCCTGGGACAACCGGTACCAGTTCCCAAGTTTGGTTCCTATTCAAGGAATCAACTTCAGCCTTCATGGCATTAAGCCAAGGCTCAGCATCTTTAGAGGTTAACTCCTGAACCTCTTTGAAGCTTGAAGGTTCCCATACCTTCTCTGAGCTACAGCAGTTGCCATCTTAGCAAACTCATCAGCAAATCTCTTTGGAGGTCTGCCCTTCGTGGCTCTCTCAGATCTGCATACTAGACGCAAGTCTTCTGGACTCATCTCCTCTTTCTTAGGAGAAAAGTGACCAATGGTGAACAGTGGTTCTTCCAGTTCATTGTCAGACGCATCAGATGGTCTGACTGAGGCCTTTGCGCTCTTGTAGTCTGCTGTGTCATCACTGTCACTGACACCAGCAGCAGCGCCGCCCACTGAACTGGAATCCGAACTCTGATCATCATCGTCATCATTATCCTCAGCAGCTTCCTCAGCTTTAGCTGCTTCTTTGACATCACCTTCATCCTCCTCTGGGTAACTCTGGAAAATTCCCACATTTCCCCCCCACTTAGGATTGTACTCAACACTCTTAGTGAACTTAATGGACTTAGAGTTGGTCATCCATACCCTGTATGCACCTTTTCGTACCCCATGAACAAACCATGTGCCCCACGCTTCCCAAGCTTGTTGCTCTGTGGGGTGTGTACCCACATGTCAGAACCAAAGATTCTCATGTGTTTGATGTTGGGTTTCTTACCAAACATCTTCTCATAGGGAGTACAACCAATAGGTGATGACAATCTGCGATTAAAAGTGTAAACAAAATTCGACAGAGCCTCCCCCCAAAACTTATCAGGGAGATTGGCATCATGCAACAATGTTTTCATTCCTTGCAGCAACGTTTGATTTGCTCGCTCCGCAAGCCCATTCATCCATGGCGAGCTAGGCGTTGACAAGTCATGCTGGATTCCCTTCTCAGTCAGGAAAGCTTCAAACTGCTGAGAAGTGAACTCCCCGCCTCGATCAGTAAACAGACAGCCAATACGTTTACTGTGAACATTCTCCAACCAAGCACAGAATGCCTTGAACTTAGGAAACGCTTGCAATTTCTGCTCGAGCATAAACACATGAATGTACCTGGAAAAAGAGTCAATTAGAACCATGAAGTACCTTGCTCCACCCAAAGAGGGCGCAAGTGGACCAACCAGGTCTGCGTGCACTAGCTGGTAGGGTTTGGAAGCCTGCCTGCTAGACTCCTTGCCTTTTGGAGCAACCTTCACCTTGTTCTCTGCACAAGATACACATTTCATGTGAAACTTACAGGGTTTGATGTTCAAACCCTCAACCATCTCTGGCATCTTGGCCAGTGCCTTCCAAGAGAGATGACAAAACCTTCTGTGTGCATCGTGAATGCATCCTGCATGAAGAACTTTGTTAGTTTGTGCAACACAACAAGAATCAACATTAGACACAACAGCACCAATGTCCTCATAAGTTATACAGAACAAGCCATCCATAAACTTTGCATGCAAAATGTCCTCTTTGCCTTTTCTGATGACACAGATGCTCCTCTTGAAGGAAATCTCAAAACCACGCCCAGTCAACTGCGGGACACTGAGCAAATTGTCTGCAGCACCTGGAACATATAGTACATCTTTGATGGTAGTGTGCAGACTTGCCAGTTTCACAGTCCCTTCTCCTGCAATTCGCAACGTCTTTCCATCAGCCAGGTGGATCTCACCTTCTTGAGGTTTGAAGGAGATAAAGAGGTGGCGGTCCTTTGAGACATGGCGGGTACAGCCTGAATCAACAACAAACCTGGCTTTGGCCTTTGGAGCAGCCTTTGCAGCAAGCAAAACCTTGTTTTCCACCGGCATGGGCTTTTGCAGCTTGCCCCCCTGCTCCTGGCCATCAGACTTGCCTTTAGCCTTTGGTGAAGCTGTGCCAGCAAACAAAACCTTGTTTTCCACTGGCGTGGGCTTTTGCATCTTGCCCCCCTGCTCCTGGCCATCAGACTTGCCTTTATCCTTTGGTGAAGCTGTGCCAGCAAACAAAGCCTTGTTTTCCTCTGGCGTGGGCTCTTCACCCTCCCTTTGCTTCTGGCCATCTGCAGGCGCCTGTTTACCTTTGCCCTTCCGGCCTCTGCAAAGGCGATGACCTTGGCTCCCATGAGAAACAGAGCTCTCAGCTGCCGACTCCTTGGCTCCCCCTGGAGGCTGGAATGCTGCCTGGGATGACGTGACAGTCAGCTCCCCCTGCAGCTTGCAACCGGTGCCCTCGGCATCCCTGCATTCACTCGCATTCTGGGAAACAGCCAGGACCTCCGATGCAGTCAAACTCTGGGCTGGGATGATTGGCAGATGGGCTACTTTCAAAGCATTCCACATCTTACGTGCAGTCATGTTGCCAGCAAGCGTTTTTATTTCCTCTAGAGAGACGGACAAGACTATTATGTCTATCGCCTTCGAATTTTCGGCCCTCCATCTATCTGTCAGAGGAACTGGAGGGGCCTCACACACAGTATGCCACACTCCAAACTTTCGAAGCAAGCTCTCACACCACACAGCCCAGGTCCCATAATTGTGCCGATTTAACTTTGGGCACTCAGCAGCCTCAGAAGCTTGGAAAAACTCCATTCCAGCTTTATTTGAGCCGTGAGTCTTATTCACTTCAGAGACTCCTTATCTTGGCTCCCATTAATCACGAAGCCTTTGGCGCGGCTCCCAGATCCAATTAGGCCTGCCGGACATCAAAGGGACTTTCGCTTTTCCTCCACATACCTTTCAGCAGTCTGTCGCAGTCTTACTCTCCTGTAAGTGCTGTGAATCTGGGCCCGTAACCTGTTGTTGGGATACTGCCAGGGAGATAAAGTCCATCAAGGCCCCCAAGCTGTCTGCCGGACGATCCATCAACCTCCCGTAGGCTCGCAGCGACATGAGTTTCTAGAAAATATCTTGCCACATTCCAGAGCTCATGCACGCTCTATCAGCAGATAATGCACAGCCAAAAAGTTGCACTCAGGAGAGCATTATTTACAAGTTTATTCAGCGTTGATCAGAACACAGAAAACATGACTGCCTGCTTTAGTGTCTACGACACCGAGAGAAAACGAAAGCAATAGCAAACATAAACATCCTGTGAACAGGAAATACGCAGACTCTGACTCACAGCCTGCTCCCTTTTAAGGTGGAACGGAAATATCCTAACAGGCCTATCCAAAGCGAGCCTTGCACCTAATTGTCTACCCGTCACATGTGCAGATGGCCTATGCTATGGCGGGTGAGGCAGCTGCAATAACATATGATGAGACTTTCTGCAGGAATGCTGCATTGTTACCTAGTTCACGCTGGGATTGAGTGGACCAGCATATTTGGCTCATGGTTGTGGCGCCTCATATTGAAAAGAAACCACTGGAAACTAGTAAATTAGGCAAATCAGATGCCAGAAGGGACCCCGCCACATAGTATGTTGGGAGTTCAATAAAGGCCTCTGCCAGAGGCAGAATTGTAGGTACTCTCATGAGTGTGACAGATGCCTAGGTAGCCACCCGGCAGTGTCCTTCAAAGGTAAGCAGTCCTTTTGGGGGGCAGGGGGTATCACCAGCAGAATGCATGGGGTGCCCCCCTTGCACCCACAGGTGCCTGTAGGCAGTAATCCCTTACCCTCGCATTTTCACCCATCAGGCAGCCGGCACTTAAGACCCCTTTTGGACATTTACCCAAATAAGGATGCAGCTTATAACCTTTGTGATGGGTTTCTCCCTGGGATTTCGGATCCTGGTGCCCTTAAGGCATCAATTTCTCAATTTCCCCCACTTAAAAAGTTACTCTCAGGCAAATTCAATCCTTGCTGGGACATTTTGAACTTTGCTTCTCGTGTAGTGGCCCCCGGACGTCCTTTCTGCTCACGTCTGGCTAGGCTATCTGCGGGGCTTCAATCACAGGGTGTGCCTCCCCAAGTCAGTAAGATGGGACCTTCAGGTTTGGCTACTGTTTTTGGGAAAATACAATGGGATATCCCTTTGGCAGGACGCTTTAAGGCTATCCACAGATTTTCAGGTTCATTCGGACACAGCAGGATCCCTGGGCTTTGGTGTATTCTTCAAAGGTGCGCCTAGGTGTGATGGCCTGGGAATCTGATTCAGAAGCTGAATCTGAGGAGTCCCAGCCTGCACAGGAGTCCCCGCCTCCAGGGCCGGCTGAGCTGGGGCAGGGGCTTGAATCTGAAGGGCCTGCACCTGTGCCGGATCCTCAGGAGCAGACACCAGATGCATCCACTCTGGCACCGGAGGTGATTGAGGACCCATTGCCTGCAGGTGCGCCTCTCCCAGCCCTGTCAGGGGAAGGTGAAGCTGCTCCTGGGTCCAGTAACCCTCCAGCCTCTCCTGAGCTGCAGAGGCTCAGGGCAGAGAGGCGGAAAGAACTGGGTTCTCTCAGGAGGAGTGCTCGCCTTAAGGCCAGGAGAGGCAGGTCACCTGTGGGCCGGGACCGCCCCTGGCCTTAGAGGAGATAAAGGCCAGTCAGCCCAGTCCCAGGTTGCTGGAGCAACATCATTGGAAACCTGTTTCTGCCAGCACCCAGACCTGTTCTTCTGGAGTTCCCGACCACGCCCGGCTTCTTGCTTTGGACCCCGCTTCACCCTTGGTGGACAGTCTCCAGACCCTCAACCCAGGACCGGACTCTGACCACACCTCTCGGTAAACCCCCCCCCCGGGTCCAGCACACTAGCAATGGCTCGCCGGCTGGCGTGGTAAGTCCATTACCTGTGATTTAATGTTCTTGGAATTTTTCCCATATTAGTAGTAGTTCACCTATGGACTGAGGAATTCAGAGGTCACCATGCCTACTTTTAGACCGATATCCAGTCCGTAGTCAATGCCCTGGCTAGGCAGTCGTCACGTTCTGAAAGGGTTTCGTGTTTGCTTTGCTTATTCGTCTTGTGGTGCCTGCAGTTTAACATCCCAGAGCATCTATGGAGCCTTGGAAATGAGACGTGATGCAGGGAGTATTGGCTTCAGTTGCACCCTCTTCGCTCAGGTCCTACAAGAACATATTGTGCGCAATCATTCTTTTAGGATTGGAGCCGCCATAATGGCAGCCCACTGGGGTTTGCCAGCAGACAGGATAAAGGACATGGGGCGGTGGCGGTCTGATGCTTTCAAGGGCTATATCCGTGACAGCTTGTAATCTGAGGCATGCCAATTCTAATCCGTCACTGTCATTTCTTACTTTCCAGAGGCAAAGAGCATTAAGATTTGGATTGTGGGATACATCATTGGGCTTGTGTGCGTGCGGCTGGCAGTGGCCTGGGGTGCCAGCTGGGTTTGCCTGAGCACATCAGAGTTTCCTGGATATCGAGGCATGGAATGCGTTGGGATGAGATGCTGCCGATTGTGAAGGCCAGGGCTGCTGCACAGGGCCCTCCTAACTCCTTGGTTTTGCAGCTGGGAGAAAACGATTTACCTTGTTGGAAAGGCGTGGACTTGCTTTTGAACATCAGAAGGGACTTAGACGAATTTGCATTGGAGTTCCCAAAAGTGACTGTTATTTGGTCTCTACTCTTGGAGAGATGCATTTGGTGTGACAGTGCTTGCCTATTGATTGGTGACCCTTGCAGGACTCCCTGCAGGGCGGGCAGGAGTCAAATATAGTCAGATCAATTCCAATGCCTAAGCCAATACTGCTAACATTCTGTAACCAATAAAGTTGTGGCCTAAATTTGCCTAATAACCTTTAACCCAGACATAGGCAAACTCCGGCCCTCCAGATGTTTGGGACTACAATTTGCATCATCCCTGACCACTGGTCCTGTTAGCTAAGGATGATGGGAATTGTAGTCCCATACACCTGAAGGGCTGGAGTTTGCCTATGCCTGCTTTAACCTAATATTTGTGTCCTTGTGTCTTATTCATCAAAGGGGGGTGGCCTCGGGGTCTCGACATGCAATGCTTTTTTTGGAACATTTTTTTTACAAATGGTATTTATTCTCACCATTCTCTTCAGGCTTCTGATGCAGCTCTTGTTTAACAAAAGCTGAGCAATTCTATCAGGGCATGAAGCAATTATTGCTTACCACAGGTGACCTTCCAAAGCTGCCCACAACTAACGCAAGACAAAAAAATATTTTGATGGTTAACCTTCATACTTTTTGTCTTTCTCACCCACCCATGAAATAGTTAATCATCCAGCTACATGCTGACCTGCTCACCTAGAACCGGGGTGATGGTGGTAGTGTAATATTTGCAGCAAAACAGACCCATTTTAAGCACAGGAGCCTGCAATTTACAGGACAGTGAGTAATAATTGCTAGGTCAAGTGAGATTTGGGATCTTTTGAGGAGAATTAATCACAGGAGTGTTTTTTAAAAGGTATTTGTGTACCAGTTGTTGATTATCTTTCCCCCCTGCCGCTCCTATATATCATGGTTCTAAAACATGATTCCCTGAATTAACATTGTTTAATGAAAACAGTATTGTGTATGAAGAAGAAGTTTGGAGGAAAAGTTCAAAATGGGGACAGGATGAAAATGAAATGTTATTGGTGTGTCTGGTACATACAATGAAATGAGGCTTATGATTTAAATGCTTTTTGGAGGGAGGGGGAGAGAGAATTGTTCACTTTTTAAAGGTGAATTTCAACTAAAGCAAACCAAATATTTGGGGTAAGATGTTTTTTGAAACTACATTAAAATCCATGGACATCTCATATTTTGAAATAGGTCAACAACTGGGATTGTTCCATTCAGCTGTCACATTTTTACAAAAACATCTTCTAAAAGCAGTCTATAATATGAACCAAGAACAACATTAGCAGAGCCTGCTTATGCTAGCATGGCAGGAAACAAGCTATACCCATCATTTCTAATATTTCCCCAATGAGCATTATGAAATCACTTTCCCTTTTTGCCTGTGTCTGATGTTGAGCTATGGCAAAAACTACTTTCCAGACATATCATCCAGCAACTTTGTTTTGCTGGGGTCATGTGCCTGCTTTTTGAGCCATAAATGTATTTATGATAGATATATGAATACATTTTCTTGTAGTGGGCTCAGACTGTGACAACACAGCTTGTTTTGCAATAAACTTTTAAAACTTTCCTCTGTTGCATGCAATTTATTACAACCTTGTTTATTTTTTAAAAAATATTATTATTATTTCATTTCTATACTGCTTTAAATTTTTAAGAAAAATCTCAAAGCGGTTTACAGCATATTAAATATCAATAAAACAATGCAGAATCAAACATTTCTGAAGAAAGTCAAATATAAAGTACACAGTCAAAGCAACACAATTAAGATGACACCAAAATGCCATCTCAAAGATTTCAAAATAAAACATTACAAAGGAGGTCAAACACAGAATACATATTTAACACAAACAAAATGAGCAAAAACCAAAAACTAAATCTTAAACATTTCAAAAGAAAACATTGATAAGTGAAGTCAAATATAAAATGCACATTTAAAACAGCATAATTAACAAGAAAATAAAATATTATAAGCATGACACAACTGTTTGGCAGGCAAAAAAAGACGGGGCAAAAGAATCCAATAATTAGGATTTGTTGTCAGGCATAGGGATGTCCCTCTGGTCTCCCCAGGGGCCTCTTTAGTAGAGCTGGTGAGTCTGGGCCCCGCCCCCTAGGCCAGGTGGAAACTGCCTTGCAGGGAGCTGCCTTCATGACTCACAGCTGTGCGATGTGATATATGCTGAAAAATATTTTAGTTTTGGGGATTTTTTAAAAAAAATCTTTATACCCAACAGGATGAATTTATTTTTTCTTGCCTGGTTTAAATAAATTTAAGGAAAACACTGACCATTTTGTTTCAAAACTAATGGCAAATGTATTCCAAAGATTGTTCTGTTCTCTAGCTTACATGATGGTGCCAACGTACATATAGTTAACTTTTTAAAAATAGCAAATTATAAGTTTACTTTAGCTGTAGTTTTACATTCTTGTTCTCTTTTAGATGCTCATTTTTCTGTGTTTGCATGTATATATGTGTGTCCTGGTCTCTTAACTTCTCTAAGGCTTTCTCTTTAAAACAAAATGTTATTAATGGGAGATCTTAATGGTGTGGTCATCCCAGATTTGGATAGATCTGTAAGAAAAAGAGATACAAATAAGGGTAAACTACCCAGGTCATTTTTTGACCTGGTGGATCCCACGGGACTAATAGATATATGGAGACTTAAAAACCCCACAATGAAACAACCCACCTTTTTCTCGAGTCCAAATCAAAGCTGGGGAAGATTAGACTACATCTGGAAATCAAAAGAATTAGTCCCGAGGTCATTTAAACCAGAAATCCTGCCACGGACTTTATCTGACCATAATCCGGTGTATTTGGAGGTGAGAGGAAAAGACCCTTCATCATTTAGATGGAGAATGAATGAAAGCCTCTTTAATCATCAGAAGATAATAGATAAAGCGAAAGAAACAATTACAGAATATTTTAACTGGAACCTAAATAAAGAAACACCCATAGAAATAGTATGGGATGCAAGCAAAGCCGTTATGAGAGGCTTTTTGATTCAAAAAAAACAGTCATCAAAGAAGGGGGAGAGAAAATAAAAAAGAGGAAACCTCTGACCGGACACAGGTTAGAGCTCAACGTCGAGCCTACCAAGTGGCGATAGCGACGGCGAAGAAGACTTTCTTCACCGCCTCTATTGCATCTGCAGAAAATAGTAGCAGGAGACTCTTTCAGGTGGTTCGCAATTTAACGGAACCACCTTTACCACCGGGGCATTGTAAAGACCCCAAGATCTCCTGCAACGATTTTGCAAAGTTTTTTGCAGATAAAATCACTCATATTCGGAAGGAGCTAGACACCACCGTGGGAGCAGGGCCAGGGCGGGAGAGTGCTAGAGCTCTGTCTGGTCAAGTTGCATGGAATCAATTTCAATCCGTTGCATGGAATCAATTTCAATCCGTTACCCCCGAGGATGTGGACAGGCTGCTTGGACGCGTGAAAGCAACCACCTGTCTCCTTGATCCTTGCCCATCCTGGCTAATAAAAGCAAGCTGGGAAGGGCTGGGCGATGGGCTCTGCGGGGTGGTGAATGCTTCCCTCTGTGAGGGAACATTCCCAGATCCGCTGAAAGAGGCGGTCATTAAACTGCTTCTTAAAAAACCATCTTTAGACCCGGCCAGTATGGCCAACTATCGCCCAGTCTCAAATCTTCCATTCTTGGGCAAGGTGATTGAGCGCGTGGTTGCTGAACAACTCCAGGCACGCCTGGAGGATGCGGACCATTTGGATCCCTTCCAATCGGGATTCAGGCCTCACCATGGGACTGAAACTGCCTTGGTCGCACTGGTTGATGATCTCCGGCGAGCTAGGGACAAAGGTGAGAGTTGTTTCCTGGTTCTGCTGGATCTCTCAGCGGCCTTTGATACAATCGACCATAACATCCTTCTGGACCGTCTAGAGGGGCTGGGAGCTGGGGGCACTGTTATACAGTGGTTTCGCTCCTTCCTCCTGGGCCGTGTTCAGAAAGTGGTGGTGGGGGATGAGTGTTCAGACCCCTGGGCCCTCACTCTGTGGGGTGCCTCAGGGTTCCGTCCTCTCCCCATGCTTTTAACATCTATATGAAGCTGCTGGGAGAGATCATCAGGGGATTTGGACTGGGTGTCCATCAATATGCAGATGATACCCAGCTCTACCTCTCTTTCAAATCAGAACCAGTGAAGGCGGTGAAGGTCCTGTGTGAGTGCCTGGAGGCGGTTGGAGGATGGATGGCGGCTAATGGATTGAAGTTGAATCCTGACAAGACAGAAGTATTGTTTTTGGGAGACAGGGGCGGGCTGGTGTGGAGGACTCCCTGGTCCTGAATAGGGTAACTGTGCCCCTGAAGGACCAGGTGCGCAGCCTGGGAGTCATTTTGGACTCACAGCTGTCCATGGAGGCACAGGTCAATTCTGTATCCAGGGCAGCTGTCTACCAACTCCACCTGGTACGCAGGCTGAGACCCTACCTGCCCGCGGACTGTCTCGCCAGAGTGGTGCATGCTCTGGTTATCTCCCGCTTGGACTACTGCAATGCGCTCTACGTGGGGCTACCTTTGAAGGTGACCCGGAAACTACAATTAATCCAGAATGCGGCAGCTAGACTGGTGACTGGGGCGGCCGCCGAGACCACATAACACCGGTCTTGAAAGACCTACATTGGCTCCCAGTACGTTTCCGAGCACAATTCAAAGTGTTGGTGTTGACCTTTAAAGCCCTAAACGGCCTCGGCCCAGTATACCTGAAGGAGCGTCTCCACCCCCATCGCTCTGCCCGGACGCTGAGGTCCAGCGCCGAGGGCCTTCTGGCGGTTCCCTCATTGCGAGAAGCAAAGCTACAGGGAACCAGGCAGAGGGCCTTCTCGGTAGTGGCGCCCGCCCTGTGGAACGCCCTCCCATCAGATGTCAAAGCAATAAATAACTACCTGACATTTAGAGGGCATCTTAAGGCAGCCCTGTTCAGGGAAGCTTTTAATCTGTGATATTTTACTGTATTTTTTGTTTCTATGGAAGCCGCCCAGAGTGGCTGGGGAAACCCAGCCAGATGGGCGGGGTACAAATAATAAATTATTATTATTATTATTATTATTAGCACACCTCGTGGAGAATGAGAGATTGATAACAATTAAACCAAACGATGAAAAAATAAAACAAAATATAAAGATGTTGCAAACTCAGTTTTCCACGGTGGTGAATCAGGAAGTAGAGTGGAGAATTAAAATGATGAGGCAAAATAATAATAATAATAATAATAATAATAATAATAATAATAAATGTTATTTATATCCCGCCCTCCCCAGCCGAAGCCGGGCTCAGGGCGGCTAACAACAATAAAACAGTACAAAAGTACAACACAAACAACACTCTAAAATCATTCATTATAAAATTAAAAGAACTTCGAGTCTGCTAACAAAATAGGAAAATATCTGGCATGGCAATTAAAGGCAAGACAAAAACAAAATATAATATAATATGTAAAATAAGAGAGGGAGAAAAGATAATAGAAGATCCCAAAGAGATAAGAAGGGCTTTCCAAAAATACTATAAAGAGTTATACAAGAAAGAGAAAGAAGACGATCACAGAAAGACTCTCCTCCCTGGAAGAGAGGGGAGTGGTTGTGGGCGGGAGCCCGAGCACTGCCCCTAGCAGGGGGCATTAGCCCCCTGCCTCCTCCTCTCACCTGGCTGGCGCCCACGCCCCCTTGGCAGGCATCCAACCAGGTGCCTTCGAGGGGGCGTGTTCAGCAGCCTTTTGCGGCGGTGCCAGCTAAATATTATAAAATATTATGTGATCAAATAACACCAGTATTATGTGAGGTTATGAACAATATCTTGAAAAAAGGCAAAATCCCAAATACGTGGAAAGAAGCCTATATAACCCTAATCCCCCAAAAAGATACTGATGGCCTAGAGGTTAGAAATTACAGGCCCATTTCATTACTGAATAATGACTATAAATTATTTGCAGATGTTTTGGCAGAAAGACTGAAAAGGCTTCTAAACAAAGTAATCCATAAAGATCAAGCTGGTTTTTTGCCGGGGAGACAGCTGAAAGATAATGTGAGAATGGTAGTAGATATTATCGAATATTTAGAAAACAAAATTGATAAACAAGCAGCGTTGATTTTCATTGACGCGGAGAAAGCATTTGATAATGTCTCCTGGCGATTTATGAAAAAGAACTTAAAAATAATGGGGATAGGAAAGGAATTTATGAAGGGTGTAGAAGCCATATATCACAATCAAACAGCCAAACTCATTATAAATAATAATGTTTCGGAGACTTTTGATATCTCAAAAGGGACGGGACAGGGGTGTCCTCTATCCCCCCTGTTCTTTATAACTGTACTAGAGGTACTCAACAAGACCATGAGAGAAAATCCAGAAATTAAAGGGATTAAGGTTGGACATAAAGAATTTAAAATAAAAGCGTTTGCGGATGATATAGTATTAACTTTGGAAGATCCAAATAAAAGCTTAAAAGAGGCACTACAAAAAATAGAAGAATTTGGCAAAGTAGCGGGGTTTAAACTTAATAAGAACAAGACTAAAATGTTAGTGAAGAACATAAGCAAAGAAGAAACAGAAGAACTGCAACAAGAGACAGGAATCACAGCGGCTAAGAAAGTCAAATATCTGGGAATATGGTTGACAGCAAAAAATATAAATCTATATAAAGATAACTATGAGACCCCATGGAGAGAAATGAAGAAAGACTTGGATATTTGGAATAGACTGAGACTCTCTTTTTTAGGGAGAATATCAGTGATTAAAATGAATGTTTTACCTAGAATGCTATTCTTATTCCAAACAGTACCAATGATCAAAGGGTTGAAACAATGTAAAGAATGGCAGAAAATATTGGCAAGATTTGTCTGACAGGGAAAGAGACCAAGAATAAAAATGAAGATCTTAGTGGACAAAAAAGAAAGAGGCGGCTTTTCCTTGCCAGACATGAGTCTTTATTATGAAGCAGCTTGCTTAATATGGATAAGAGATTCGATAAAACTAGAGAATACGGACCTTCTAGATTTAGAAGGATTTGACAACAGGTATGGGTGGCACTCGTACCTGTGGTATGGTAAAGCAAAAATCCACAGGGGTTTCTTAAATCATATAATTAGAGGACCTATATATGATGTTTGGGAAAGAAATAAAAATTTGTTAGAAAAGAAAACCCCCTAGTGGATCTCACCAACTGACGTATTAATTACAAAAAACCTAATATGGAGGGAAAGAGAGCTACTTATGAAGAGTTTGTTATGAAAACGGAGCAGGGGATTAAGTTAAAGGCGTATGAAGAAATAAAGAACCTACTGACAGGGTGGTTACAACACCACCAAGTTAATGAGATACTAAAAGAGGATAAAAAAAGATTGGGATTTGAGGAAAAGAAATCAAAATTTCAAATCGATATTATAGAAGGTAACAACAAACTTTTGTCCAAAATGTATGACTTATTACTGGACTGGTTTACTAAAGATGAGGAGGTAAAAGAAGCCATGATTAAGTGGGCCATGGATTTTGGATATAATATAGAATTAGAAGCGTGGCGTGAATTATGGAATGTCAATATGAAATTTACGAAGTGTACGGCTTTACAGGAAAATATGTGGAAAATGATATATAGGTGGTACCTCACGCAGGTAAAATTGGCAAAGATGTATAAAATAAAAAATAGGAAGTGTTGGAAGTGTGGTGAGGCAGAAGGAGATTTAGATCATATGTGGTGGGTTTGTGGGAAAGTGAAGGGTTTTTGGGAATCAATATATAATGAGCTTAAAAAAATCTTTAAGTACACTTTTCTAAAAAAAACCTGAAGCCTTTTTATTGGGATTGACAGGGAAGGAAATTAAAAAGAAGGATAAAAATCTTTTCCTGTACGCCACGACAGCAGCTAGAACTATGTTGGTCCAGAACTGGAAAAGTGATACTATACCTACAATCATGGAATGGCAGACTAAAATGATGAATTACGCAGAATTGGCTAGATTGTCAGGAAAAATACGGGACCAAGATGAAAAGAAGTTTGCTGAAAATTGGAGTAAATATTTGGTATGTGTAAGAGAAAATTGTAAAACTTTAAAGACACTGGCAGGGTTGGAGTAACTCTAACAACATAAGACAAAATAGTATTAGATAGAATACGCGATGTTATAACTATATGATACTTACCGAAGAGACGGAGGGAAGTCTGAAGCTCAGCAGAGCTTAAGGCTTAGGTGGATGGATAAATGTATAATGAGTGTATGTATTCTATGTGTATGTGTAATAATAAAAATAATAAATAAAATAATAAAAAAATAATAAAAATAATAAAAATATTATTAATAAATATTATTAATAAAAATAAAAATCAATAAAAACTGAATTTAAAATAATAATAATAATCTACTTTTTGTATAAATACATTCTTCAGTTGCCATGAACACTCCACGGACAAAAGTAGAAGCTTTGAGAAGAAATTCCAAGGCATGCTCTGGTTCATGGGATCACGGAGAGTCAAGCACAAGTAAGAAGACTGAACGACAACAACAACATTCTTCAGAAGAGTACCTTTGGAGTTTGCAGGAGGGAAGGGTAGACAAGCGTGGGAGGAAGAAATGACCCTGTTCCTTTTAAAGAAAACTCTTCAGTAGGTTGTTTATAATATGTGCTTGTTCACTTCATATAAATATTCTACTTACACAGATCTGTAAATGGGACATGTCAGCACTGTGCCCTTAAATGCAAAAAAAAAATTTTTTTCCAAATGTTTCATAAGAAGTTGGTGAGTGGGTACAGAGTCTCTCTTCTTTGGTAAATAATGTAAATACATGTCCTTTTAAAAAAGTGAGTATTATACAGGTATTTTGTGTCATTTAATAAAGATTAAACAGCTTTCTGTTGCTAAAAGGCTTCATTTTGCCATGTGGTGTGGAATGTGTTCCATGTACATTTGGGTGTATTAATTGTGTCATTTTCTCTTGACCTCTTCTAAATTTGTAAGAGTTCTCACAGCCAAAAAAAATGCAGCTGAACCAGCCCAAATATAGCACTAAATCAATTTGACTTTACATATCAGCTTCAGCTTCATGCACACCCTCCTGCCCTCTTTCCTTCCCTGCACTTCCTCCTTCACAGCAAACCATAGTTCCATCCAAGCTACCAAACTATGGTTTGTGTTTCTTTCCCACTGAACCAGAATGCAAGCCACAGTTTGATTTTGGTTTGGAGGGAATGGGTCAACCATAGTTTACCATTTTGGAAGTATAGTAGGCTTGCAACTTGCACACATTTAACTTGCACGATTACAGCTTTACAAGCTTCGTGGCCGGCCAGCACATAATCACGCAAATGCACACACAAGGTGGAGAAGCTTTTGCTGTGCTGGGTTTTCCTGGTACAGAAAGAGCTTTTAAGCTCTCTGCCTTGTTTACTGGGCTTTGGGAAGGCCTTGAGAGATCTTGCAGGGCTGCCTGAAATCCTGCAAAGGTCCGCAGAGCCCATGTGAGACCTTCCCAGAACCTGGTAAACAAGGCAGAGTCAAGGCCCACTTGGTGTTCCAGAAAGGTAGGGGTGGTCACATAGGGGCTATTCTGGGGTAGTTCTTTTTTTATATAAATGAGTTTTATTGGTTTTACATATAATCACATTACGTAACATCGTACCCTCTTATTTTATCTCTTTGGCTCAACTGAGCCTAACGACTTCCCTCCCCATCTGATAGTTTACAAAATTAAACTTTACATCTTTACATTTCACTTCGTTTCCTATCCTTGTTATAGCATTACCTAAAATATTATATTACTCAACCTGAATAGGTAGCAATTTCATCTTACAAATCTTCAGATAACCCTGCTAATGATGATAATTGCTTACAGTTGTTTTTCAAATATAATATAAATTTGTTCCAGTCCTTTGGGAATGCTTGGTTTCACTGGTTCCAGATTCTTCCCATCAGTTTCGCCAGTTCTGCAAAGTCCATCATTTTCATCTGCCACTCTTCTTTTGTTGGTAACTCCTGTTGTTTCCATCTTTGGGCTAACAACATTATTGCCGCAGTTGTTGCATATGAGAACAGTTTTTTTATCTTGTCTCGGTATCTCTCTACCCATTATACCCAATAAGAAAGCTTCTGTTTTTTTAACAAAAGTGTTTTTAAACATTTTCTTTAACTCATTATATATCATTTCCCAGAAAGCTTTTACCTGTTTGCATGTCCACCACATATGGTAAAAAGTACCTTCCTTTTCCTTACATTTCCAACATTCATTTTTTGTTCTATACATTTTGGCCAGTTTAACTGGTGTTAAATACCACCTGTACATCATTTTCATAACATTTTCTTTAAGCGTACTGCATGCTATAAAATTAATACCTTCATTCCATAACCTCTCCCAATCTTCTACCTGTATATTATGTGCAATATCTTTAGCCCAATGTATCATTACTGATTTTACCTCCTTATCTTTATTATGCCATTTCTGTTCTGGGGTAGTTCTGGCTATACTCAATTTCAGCTTTATGTGCAGTCCTTGGAACCTAACTCCCACGCAAGTTACGAATCAACTGTAATTTCAAACTGTGCTTTGTTGCAAAAGGAACTGGAAGCACCACTCAAGTTCCAGACTTGCTCATGCCATGCCAAACTATGACTTGTTACATGTAACTCAAGCCTTTGTCTCTTTCCTAAAGCTTGTATAGCCTTGTAAAGTTGTCCTCTATTCTTGGTTGCTGGATGCAAGGAGGCCCGTGCCAGAAAGTGTTGTAATGCTACTGTGATTGTGTGACTGGGAGAAGCAGTGTGCTCAGCTGTGCTGATCACTTTGATGCTGTCTTCAGGCTGTAAAATGAGACTGTAGGTAAACAAAGTTGCTGCTTTAAAAAAAAATAGATACAGATGATTTCTGTCCAGGGTCAAAGGGCCAATCAAATACATAGCCTTTTCAGCTAACATTTCCAGCCATTATAATCTGTAATTCTAAAATAGCAAAAGAGACATAGTGTCAATTCCCTATGTCCGTTGGAACACCACTGGGGCTGGCTTCCATATCTCTTTGGAAACATCAACTGCAGACAGAAATCAATGAATGTGGGTAAAGCAAATCACCTGGATACTTGTCCCAGAATTGTTGGCACCTATTATTTATTTTGGCATAACATACAGATAAGACTGTACTGTGATGTTCCCAAAGTTGCACAGCTGCCTGTGCCAAGTTTATTTCCTAGAAGAAACCTGACACTGTTGTCTCCCACCTGCCTGAAATCAACCCACCCAACAGCTACTGGCCCAGCAAGAATATTTGTTAATTTACAGTAGGGGTGGGGGTGTAACCTCAGATCTGGGGGCCAAACGTGACCCTCCAGGCCCCTCTTTGGCCCTTGGCACTATCCCCTGCTCACACACCTTACTTCAGCCTTACTTCACATTCTCCTTGACTGATTTTTGCCTGGCTGGAATAAGTCTTTAAACTCTGGCTTGCTTGAACTGAGGATAAAGAGGTGTGTGTCTGTGTGTAGGAAGTATTCTTACATCCAGAGGTATTTTTTATATTAACTGCTCTGCCCCTTATTGCTTCTGGCACCACCTACCACTGGTATGTGGCCCCCAGAAGGCAATGCATCCCTCAGACTGAAAAAGGTTCTGCACCCGAGGACTAGGTGCTTGCTTTGTTCTGTTTAAAACTCTATTGTGTGAGAGAACAGAGGATGATTGCAGCCACCCCCACTTTCAGTACATACATGGAGGGGAAATGAGCAGAACCCCCAGCAACAGTCCCTTGTGATACAGATTGACTTTGAGTACTGGGGACACAGAGCTGAGCAAAGCCCAGCAGTCTGGTAATAACCCTGAAATTCTGGTCTTCCCTCCTAAGAGGATGAAGTGTCAGGCTTCAGGGAATCGGCTTCCTCCCCCTGTAGCAGTAAATAAGATCAAACGAAAGGAACGTCTTACCAGTTAGGCTCTTAATAATAATAGTGAGAGACAAGAGAACACGTCTCCCTAGGAATGGTGGTGCTCCCAATTAAGGCTCACTCCCCCCTCCGTCCCTATTAATCTACGTCACTCCTACATCTTGTAAGCTGAGCTTATACCCTCTGTGCTTTCTGTTCTGACACTTTCTGAGCTATTCCTGACGTTGGGGAGAGCGGTGGAAGAATGCTGTCCAATGACTGTGAATCTGTTAACCCTCTCTCTCTTCCAGTGTTTCTTCTCCTAGCTGTTCCTCATCCAGTATTTCCCAGCTTCTGCCTTCTGAACTATGCGCCTCTGCAAAACACTGTTCCAAATCTATACCGTCCTCCTGCTCCTGGGAAGATTCAGGATCAGGGGGAGGGGTGGCTTCCACCATTCCTCCTCAGTGCAGCCCTCCTCAGCACGGTCCCTGACATGAAGTCAACTTGAACGCTGCAGTTCTGAATGACACTTTCATTAACACCTGATTAATTACAGCATAGTCATGCATCATGCATTCTAGAAGGAATAAAGTTATGGCAAGCAGACAGCTAGCTAGCCATTGCTTGCTTGCAAGTTATCTGGTCCAGTTACAGATCTAGCACCATCTTGCATGAAATGAACACAAATTCGAGGAAGGGGAATTTCCAACACAGAATTATACTACATCGTCAACCAGGTGTGCCACATAATCCCATATATTCTAGAAGACGAGACAAAACAACGGATACACTTGGAGATAGACACAACTGAAAACATGCCCACCACAGCATGCCCATTCCTCCAAAACAAACAAAGGAAAATCTAAACAGGTTCACACAGTCCATGCTCAAAGCATGGAAGGAAAAAGTAGGAAAACTGTCTCCAACCCATCCTAACTAACTCCCCTAGCTTATCACCCACTATTCCACCACGCAGCACAAAGCTTCCAAATAAAAACTTGGCAAGCCAAAGGCCTATACCACCTAACAAACAAACACATATTGACACAAGAAATACAAGACAAACTAGGGGACACCCAAATATCCTGGCTAACTACAAACCTTCTTAAACAATCCAGCAGTAAAATCAGCAGCCACTAGGCCCTTGATCTTTTTTTAAATAATGTTTTATTAGTTTTCAATTACAATCCAATAATAGCCTCATTATAACAATACCAAATTATACAACAGTTATGAATGCCAATCACTGAAATGCCAAATTATATGTGGCTTCCGGTTTTTCTGCCTTCTGTTGCGGGTGTGCTCTGCGGGTTCTCCGCACTCAGCAGCTGTTAGAGGAAATTTTAGGGGGCTCTGCGGAGGCTCTGCTACCCCCAAAAAGGCTCTGGGGGTGACCCAGAACCGACACTGTCCGGCAGTGTCAGAAAAGGGAACCCTCTGAAGCTCGCGTCCCATGTAGGAGGCGAGTCAATGGAGAGTACCCAGACGCGAGGAGACGAGCAATCCTCAACAGCAAGCCTCAAAACCCCAAACGGTAAGAACGGCGGCAAAATTTCCTGCTTGGCAGGGGGTTGGACTCGATGGCCCTTGTGGTCTCTTCCAACTCTATGATTCTATGATTCTATGATTCTATGATTCTATGATTCTATGATTCTATGATTCTATGATTCTATGATTCCAACCTCCTCAATCCCCTTAACTAAGGACAAAGCTAATAAGGAGAGATTAAGGAGAAGAGGGTCTGTGAGGTCTACATATATAAAGCGACCTGCCTAGTATTTTAAACAGACCCTGAAGGATCAGCGCATAAAGAGTAAAGATTGGGAGACTTTATTTTAAATAGATCGGAAATCCTTCGTATTATACTTAAATGACAGTGCAGAAATCTCCAGCAAGTACCAGTAAGAAAAGGAGAATAGTTTTCATGCTTCACTCTGCAGCGGTGTTAGCCCAGTGAAAGAAGCTGAATTAAAGGACTTAAACCGTCAGCACTGCTAGCGGAGGGAAAGGGAAAGATACAGGAAAACAAAGGAAGAAAGAGAAGGCAACACTTTTAATTTTGAACTTAGGTTAAACACTAACCTATAAGGATGGCAAATATGATGTAGCGTGGTTTAGGAGAAAGGGCTGGACTAATTGAAGACTCAGGAAGAGAAGAAAAGCAGTGCAAGGAGGGATGGAACCAGACTAAAAAGGAGAAGGACTATAAAGTTAAAGACAGACAGCTCTCCACAAAGACTTCAGAAAACAGAGACAGCGACACCAAGTGGTGAACAGCAGAAAATCATCTAATTTCATTGAACTTTAACTTTGCCCGAACAATTGTGTATTGCAAGAGACTGTGAGTGTAAAAAGGATGGTTCTCTTTGGTACATATTAATAAGGAATTGGTGGATATTAATAAGGGAAAAATTGTGCCATGCTTTAATTGAATTTAGAATAAAATATAGAGGTGAAGAAAAGGGAAGGATTTTTTTTCAGATTAATAAAAATTAGAAGGGTATAACAAATACAACAAAAATCTTATAAAAAGAAATCTGAAACATAACAAATAGAATTTTTTTCCTTAGTGAGAGGTAATTGAAATGGAAAAGAACTGGTATATACAAAATTTGGAAATACTCTTCAGATTAATAGATTTATCCAGCAATCCAGGGGAATGTTGTTGTTGTTTAGTCCTTTAGTCGTGTCCGACTCTTCGTGACTCCATGGACCAGAGCACACCAGGCACTCCTGTCTTCCACTGCCTCCCGCAGTTTGGTCAGGCTCATGTTTGTAGCTTCGAGAACACTGTCCAACCATCTCGTCCTCTGTCGTCCCCTTCTCCTTGTGCCCTCCATCTTTCCCAACATCAGGGTCTTTTCCAGGGAGTCTTCTCTTCTCATGAGGTGGCCAAAATATTGGAGCCTCAACTTCACGATCTGTCCTTCCAGTGAGCACTCAGGGCTGATTTCCTTAAGAATGGATACGTTTGATCTTCTTGCAGTCCATGGGACTCTCAAGAGTCTCCTCCAGCACCATAATTCAAAAGCATCAATTCTTTGGCGATCAGCCTTCTTGATGGTCCAGCTCTCACTTCCATACATCACTACTGGGAAAACCATGGCTTTAACTATTCCAGGGGAATAGTTGATGGGAAAGAGGGAGTTGATTTGGTAGCTCTGCAATTTCATGTGCTAATTGATGTTTTGTGCAAATAAATTGGTGGGAAAGAGGAAGTTGGTTATGTAATTTTGCAATTTCATGTGTCAATTGATATCTGGTGTAAAAAAATCTCATCTAAAGAAAAAATAGATAACTAAAGAATTAAATTTAACAATCCTATAAGATACAAAAGAAAAGGATCTCATGTCATCAAACAGAAAACACAATATAGGTCCAACTTATAACCAGCAAGGTAAAAGGAATTCTGGACTTGAACAAGAAATGGGTTTGAGAGATCTTAAATTAAGCTTGAAGAATGATATAGGAGAAATGAAGAAAGAATTTAATGATCACAAGCTGAAAATGAATAATAAAGTGAAAGGAATAGATGACAAATTAGATAAGATGGGGAAAATAGATGATAATACAAAATCAATTATAGAACTGAAAGAACAAGCAAAGGAATTCTCAGAGGAAAAGAAAGAGTTAACAAAAACGGTTCAGGAACTTAAAATAAAAACGCAACATTTAGAAGAATTCTCTAAGAACTCCTCTAAAGATTTAAGGGAAAGCAAGAGAGAATGGGACAAGGTCAAAAAGGAAAATGATGACTAAAGTTACTCAGGAAGCAACCTGAGATGCACTATCTATTCTTCAAATGCAAATTAAAGAAAGAACTCTCAGGCTACGTGGTGTCCCAGAGAATCTGGAAGAGAATGTACAAAACACTATTATAAAAGAACTAGCCAATTGGTTAGAAATAAAAGAAAATGAAATTGCAGATAATACAGAAAGTCTATTCAGAGTAAATTCCAGGAAAGCAAAGATGAATAAATGGCCATGGGACTGTGTAATTACATTTACATCAAATAAATTAAGGAACAGGATACTATTGCACGGAAGGAAAAAAACTGTTTAAAATTGGGGGAGAGAAAATTATAATTTTGAAGGAGATCCTTCCTCGTTTGCTTAAAAAGAGAGAAAAATACCAATTCCTGACAAGAGCCCTAAAAATGAAGTCAATATTTTTTAAATGGGAATTTCCGGAAGGAATTTCTTTTAATTTAAAAGGGAAAAGAAGAAGACTGGAAATGGTGGAAGACGCGGAAAATTTTATAGAACGTACAAAAATGAATTAGGGGGCGATAGATATTTAAAAGAAAGAGTCCAGCCAACAAAATCCAAAAAACACAAACTCAGAACACAGTTCAGAGAGTGAGTAAACACCTAACAAAAAGTTACATACCTAACTGCCAAATATAAAAAATGTAAATTAATTTTGCAGTCAAATGCTCTACCACTGAGCTATACCCCCTAAAAAATGTAAATTAATTTTGTGATACAATATATATTAACGAATAAAGATGAACTAAAATTTTTTGTCATGGAATGTTAATGGATTAAATGATAAGAAAAAAAAAGAAAATAGAGCATATACTGATTAAACAAAAGATTGATGTGATTTGTTTGCAGGAGACTCATGTTACAAAAGAACACAAAATAGTATTAATAATAATAATAATAATAATAATAATAATAATAATAATAATAATAAATTTACTATTTGTACCCCGCCCATCTGGCTGGGTTTTCCCAGCCACTCTGGGCGGCTTCCAACAAAGACCAAAAATACACTAAACTGTCACACATTAAAAATTTCCCTGAACAGGGCTGCCTTCAGATGTCTTCTGTATGTCAGGTAGTTGTTTATCTCTTTGACATCTGATGGAAGGGCGTTCCACAGGGCGGGCACCACTACCGAGCAGGCCCTCTGCCTGGTTCCCTGTAGCTTTGCTTCTCGCAATGAGGGAACCGCCAGAAGGCCCTCGGCGCTTAACCTCAGCGTCCGGGCAGAATGTTGGGGGTGGAGACGCTCCTTCAGGTATACTGGACTGAGGCCATTTAGGGCTTTAAAGGTCAACACCAACACTTTGAATTGTGCTCGGAAACGTACTGGGAGCCAATGTAGGTCTTTCAAGACCGTTGTTATGTGGTCTCGGCGGCCGCCCTTAGTCACCAGTCTAGCTGCCGCATTCTGGATTATTTGCAGTTTCCAGGTCACCTTCAAAGGTAGCCCCACGTAGAGCGCATTGCAGTAGTCCAAGCGGGAGATAACTAGAGCATGCACCACTCTGGCGAGACAGTCTGCGGGCAGGTAGGGTGTCAGTATACATACCAGGTGGAGCTGATAAACAGCTGCCCTGGATACAGAATTGACTTGCGCCTCCATGGACAGCTGTGAGTCCAAAATGACTCCCAGGCTGCACACCTGGTCCTTCAGGGGCACAGTTACCCCATTCAGGATCAGGGAGTCCTCCACACCAGCCCGCCCCCCTGTCCCCCAAGAATAGTACTTCTGTCTTGTCAGGATTCAACCTCAATCCATTAGCCGCCATCCATCCTCCAACCGCCTCCAGGCACTCACACAGGACGTTCACTGCCTTCACTGGTTCTGATTTGAAAGAGAGGTAGAGCTGGGTATCATCTGCATATTGATGGACACCCAGTCCAAACCCCCTGATGATCTCTCCCAGCGGCTTCATATAGATGTTAAAAAGCATGGGGGAGAGGACGGAACCCTGAGGCACCCCACAAGTGAGGGCCCAGGGGTCTGAACACTCATCCCCCCCCCACTTTCTGAACACAGCCCAGGAGGAAGGAGCGGAACCACTGCATAACAGTGCCCCCAGCTCCCAGGCCCTCTAGACGGTCCAGAAGGATGTTATGGTCGATTGTATCAAAGGCCGCTGAGAGATCCAGCAGAACTAGGAAGCAGCTCTCACCTTTGTCCCTAGCCCGCTGGAGATCAACAACCAGCGCGACCAAGGCAGTTTCAGTCCCATGATGAGGCCTGAATCCCGACTGGAAGGGATCCAAATGGTCCGCATCCTCCAGGTGTGTCTGGAGTTGTACAGCAACCACCCGCTCAATCATCTTGCCGAAGAATGGAAGATTTAAGACTGGGCGATGGCCATACTGGCCGGGTCTAAACATGTCTTTTTAAGAAGCAGTTTAATGACCGCCTCTTTCAGAGGATCAGGGAATGCTCCCTCACAGAGGGAAGCATTCACCACCCTGCAGAGCTCATCGCCCAGCCCGTCCTGGCTTGCTTTTATTAGCCAGGATGGGCAAGGTTCAAGAAGACAGGTGGTTGGTTTCACTCGTCCAAGCAGCCTGTCCACATCATCGGGGGTAACGGATTGAAATTGATTACATGCAACTTGACCAGACAGGGCTCTAGCACTCTCCTGCCCCGGCCCTGCTCCCATGGTGGTGTCTACCTCCTTCCGAATCTGAGTGACTTTATCTGCAAAAAACTTTGCAAAAACATAGCAGGAGATCTTGGGGTCTTTACAAGGCCCTAGTGGTAAAGGTGGTTCCGTTAAATTGTGAACCACCTGAAAGAGTCTCCTGCTACTATTTTCTGCAGATGCAATAGAGGCGGTGAAGAAAGTCTTCGCTGTCGCTATCGCCACTTGGTGTTGGGATACTGCCAGGGAGATAAAGTCCATCAAGGCCCCCAAGCCGTCTGCCGGACGATCCATCGACCTCCCGTAGGCACGCAGCGACATGAGTTTCTAGAAAATATCTTGCCACATTCCAGAGCTCATGCACGCTCTATCAGCAGATAATGCACAGCCAAAAGTTGCAATCAGGAGAGCATTATTTACAAGTTTATTCAGCGTTGATCAGAACACAGAAAAACATGACTGCCTGCTTTAGTGTCTGCGACACAGAGAGAAAACGAAAGCAACAGAAAACATAAACATCCTGTGAACAGGAAATACGCAGACTCTGTGACTCACAGCCTGCTCCCTTTTAAGGTGGAACGGAAATATCCTAACCTCCTCCCCCTTTCCGTGTAACCTGTAGTACCTGTGGTTCAACCCAATTGCAACCTTTGTACATAAACCTTAAGTTGTTCTCTGTTAACAACCTTAGACAACAGATCAGCAGGAATTTCATTTCCTGGCATGTAGGACACCTGAATGAGTCCTTTCTGAATACACTCTCTTGCACGATGTAGCTTAATCTGCAAGTACTTGGTTCTTTGCTTGCAACTCTCCGAGTTCAGCAAAGCCAAACACGATCTATTGTCTTGATACACTTGTACAGGCACTCTGTTATTGATTACATCCTTGTCTCCCAAGAACTCTTCGATGAATATATTGAATTTGCTGTAGATATAAGAACCGAAAGTGACCATTTACCCCTAAATCTTAAAAGGACTGAATTTTGGGAACCCTCTAGATGTGGGCTTGCCCCGCAGACTCCTGATCCTAGCGCTTTACAACAAATAGGCAGATCCAGAATTAAATGGTCCCCTTATGTTAATAACCATTTTGGTATTTGGACACAATCAATGGAAGGTCAACTCCTCTGGGCTGATCTGACTTCCAACGACACTGAAGAGACCTCCCAAATGAACATTATAATACATTAATCCGAAAACTCCAACCGTTATTGTCAAGACCCAGAAGATCTAACCAAAATGACTCCCCTACCAACAAAAAATGGTTTGATCACGAATGCACTCAGGCAAAACTTATACTCAGGGAATGCTTTAAGGTCTTCCAGCAAAATCCTAACCCTATCACTAAATTGGAGTTACAACTTAAAAAAAGAACTACAAAGAGTTATTAAAAACCAAAAAAAGAACCGCAGACTCTCTCATTTGGCAGGCCCTCATAAAAGCGTCAATAGAAAAAGACAATTCCAACTTCTGGAAAATTATCTCCAGTCAAACCAAAGCTCCTAATGAGGGCACAATAATCCCTGCAAATTCATGGGAAGAGCACTATAAAGTGCTGTTTAGGGAACATCGTCCTTCTGCGCCGCTTAACATCCCCTTAGATAATGATACACCATGGCCCCCAACATCTGAAACTGAAATCACTTCGCTAATTCTACAAATGAAATCTGGCAAAGCCCCAGGAAGTGATTTCATTGTCGCTGAACTTCTGAAAGCGCAAATAAACTGGTGGGCCCCGGTCCTTGCTAATCTATTTTCATATATAGATAAGACAACTGAAATCCCTAAAGATTGGGGACTAGCTATAATTGTTCCCATATTTAAAAAGAGCAACCCCTCTGATCCATCTAATTATAGACCAATTAGTCTCCTGAATGTGATCTGTAAACTTTATACAAAACATCTATGCCTAAAATTATGGGAATGGTTAGATCATAATAACCTGCTAGAAATTGAACAAGCAGGGTTTACATCCGGACGTTCCACCATTGATCACTGCTTAGTGTTAGATTACTTTGTCTATAAGTATGCGAAATATTGGAAAAAGTCATTATATGCGGCCTTTGTGGACTTAAAGGCAGCATTTGATTCTGTATCCAGGAGCAGGCTCTGGGCCAAATTGGCCAATATGGGTATTAACAGAAGGTTATTACTTCTGATGATTAAGCTTCATGAGAACAATACCCTCCAGATAAGACTTGCACAGGACGGCAGACTCTCTAGAGAAATTCTAGTTCAAAGAGGAGTTAGACAAGGATGCCTATTAGCCCCATTCCTATTTAATATCTATGTTAACTCCCTGGTTACATGCTGCCGTGAAATTGAAACCCACCCCCCTGTGTTCTCTAATGGCAGAAAAGTACCAATTTTAATGTATGCGGATGACGCTGTTCTTCTCTCTCAAACCAAAGTGGGTCTGAAACGTGCCTTAGGAAAGTTTAGTGACCAATGTAACACTGAACTGTTAACAATTAACTTTGCCAAAACCAAAATTGTACATTTTAACCGCTCCTTTAGGAAGGATAATTGGAGCGTAAAGGGAAACGCCATTGAACAGACTAAGACCTTCCAATACTTAGGCATTACTTTCTCTTATAATGCCAAATTCTCAACACACTTGACCACATCAGCTATATCAGCAGAAAGAAGTGCAAATGCTATCCTTAGATTATTCAGAAGGAAAGGAGCTGGCTTCCTCCCGATGGCCCTAACAGTCTTTCAGGCAAAATCTTTAGCCCAACTTCTATATGGCTCTCAAATTAGCCCCTCTGCCAACCTTAAGACCCTTGAAACAGTACAATCTAAATTCTTAAGATCATTATTTGCTACTCCTAAGTGTACACCTAATGCAGTTTTAAGGCAAGAGGCAGGACTGCCCAGAGTGGAATTAAAAGTATGGGAACAAGCAATATCCCTCTGGCTGAAAATCCATTACAATCCTAAGGGTCTATTACCTTGCTTCCTGGCCGCAGTTCCCTATCCTCCTTGGCTTATGCAAATAACTAACAAGATCAAACAAATTGGCCTAAACCCTGAAAATATTTTTATTGGAACTCTGAACAAGGCAAAAGCTACTATCACTCGGAGACTTTATGATATCGAATTACAACAAGAAGGCGCCCTACTCCCAGAGACGTATAGATGTTTAAAAGCTTGGCCTAATTTTGCAGCTGCCCCTACTTAACTAACATCACTAACGAAACCTATAGATGGGCTTTCTCTAGAGCCCGCTTTGAGACAATGCCCTCAGCAGTGCTGTACGGCAAATTCACGCGAGTTCCAATGCATGCGCGTCTCTGCCCTTGTATGTCTAATAAGGTAGAATCTGTCACACACATTCTTCTATCTTGCGAATTCTATAGTGAAGAACGAGTTCAACTTATTTTACCGCTTCTATCAAAATTTATACCCCTTCAATATTATTTGGAATCCTCCCCTGAAATTCTTCGAAAATACCTCCTGGAAGATTCCTCAAGCTCAGTATCATATGAGGTGGCTAAATTTTGCACTTTAGTAATTAAGAAGCGTAAATCTCTTCTGTTGAATGGCACACTGTGAAGTTCTCTTGTGTAACCTTTTTTCTTTTCTGAAGTTGTTGCTGATTTTTTGTTGTCTGATCTTATGGTGTCTAGTGTCACTGGCTTTGGCCGCAATAAACTTGAACTTGAACTTGAGTACCTGTGGTTCAACCCAATTGCAACCTTTGTACATAAACCTTAAGTTGTTCTCTGTTAACAACCTTAGACAACAGATCAGCAGGAATTTCATTTCCTGGCATGTAGGACACCTGAATGAGTCCTTTCTGAATACACTCTCTTGCACGATGTAGCTTAATCTGCAAGTACTTGGTTCTTTGCTTGCAACTCTCCGAGTTCAGCAAAGCCAAACACGATCTATTGTCTTGATACACTTGTACAGGACATTTCACAGAAACTGTGATGTCCTTAAACAGTTGCATCAACCATTCACAATCCATGAGTGAAAATGACAGAGCATTGAGTTCTGCTTCACAGGAACTTAGGCTCACTGTCGTCTGCTTCTTGCACAACCAGTCAAACAGGCAGTGGTTGTACATGTAGCATACTCCAGAAGTGCTTGTACCATCCGTGGTGTCACTTCCAAAACTTGCATCTGCAAAGATTTCAAGACCTCCAGTCTTCTGACTGGTGAACCTCAGCCTGTAGTGCAAAGTCCCTTTCAAATAGCGGGCTATGCGCTTCAGAGCTTTCCAATCCTGAACAGTAGGATTGTTAGCATGTCTGCTAAGCAGGTTAGTGCTTACAGCAATGTCAGGTCTTGAGCATCTCGCAATGAAATTCAACTTGCCTAGAATGCACCTGTACAGCGTAGTGTCAGAAAACGCTTCAGCAGTACTGTCTACCTGGTAACCTGTCACCATCGGTGTGTCTGCTGGGTTTGCATCAACCAAATTCAACCTGGTTAAAACATCAGCAATTTTCTGTGTTTGGTGTACCAGAAAATTACCTGCTTGGTCCCTCTCCACCTGCAGAGAAAGATAGTTGGATACCTCACCAAGATCCTTCATGTCAAAGTGCTCCTTCAGCTGAGCTAGGGTGCTTTGATAAAAGCCTGATTCTTCCAAAACATCAGAAGATCATCAACAAAACATAAACAATACAGTTTGTTTTGCCCTCCTCCTTGACAAACACACATGGATCAGCTTTACCCTGGTGAAAACCTAGAGAAAGCAATGTCTCAGTGAGTTTCGTGTTCCAACATCTGGCACTCTGCTTGAGACCATATAAGGATTTCCGCAGTTTACAGACCATTCCCTTCTGTATCTGCATTCCATCAGGTGGAAGCATAAACAGCTCCTCCTCCAAACTTCCGTACAAAAAAGCTGTATTAATGTCATGATGGGAAACATGCAGTTTCTCCTCCGCAGCAATCTTGAGCATCAGCCGAATGCTCTCATATTTGACGGTGGGTGAGTAGGTCTCATGGTAATCCTGTCCTGGTACCTGTGAAAAACCTCTGGCAACCAATCTGGCTTTGTGTCTAACTACCTTGCCATTCTGGTCTGTCTTAGCCTTGAAGACCCATTTGCTGCCAACCAGTCTCATCCCTGGGACTACCGGTACCAGTTCCCAAGTTTGGTTCCTATTCAAGGAATCAACTTCAGCCTTCATGGCATTAAGCCAAGGCTCAGCATCTTTAGAGGTTAACTCCTGAACCTCTTTGAAGCTTGAAGGTTCCCACACCTTCTCTGAGCTACCAAGAACAGCAGTTGCTGTCTTAGCAAACTCATCAGCAAATCTCTTTGGAGGTCTGCCCTTCGTGGCCCTCTCAGATCTGCGTACTGGACGCAAGTCTTCTGGACTCATCTCCTCTTTCTTAGGAGAAAAGTGACCAATGGTGAACAGTGGTTCTTCCAGTTCATTGTCAGACGCATCAGATGGTCTGACTGAGGCCTTTGCGCTCTTGTAGTCTGCTGTGTCATCACTGTCACTGACATCAGCAGCAGCGCCGCCCACTGAGCTGGAATCCGAACTCTGATCATCATCGTCATCATCATCCTCAGCAGCTTCCTCAGCTTTAGCTGCTTCTTTGACATCACCTTCATCCTCCTCTGGGTAACTCTGGAAAATTCCCACATTTCCCCCCCACTTAGGATTGTACTCAACACTCTTTGTGAACTTAATGGACTTAGGGTCAGTCATCCATACCCTGTATGCACCCTTTTCGTACCCCATGAACAAACCATGTGCCCCACGCTTCCCAAGCTTGTTGCTCTGTGGGGTGTGTACCCACATGTCAGAACCAAAGATTCTCATGTGTTTGATGTTGGGTTTCTTACCAAACATCTTCTCATAGGGTGTACAACCAATAGGTGATGACAATCTGCGATTAAAAGTGTAAACAAAATTCGACAGAGCCTCCCCCCAAAACTTATCAGGGAGATTGGCATCATGCAACAATGTTTTCATTCCTTGCAGCAACGTTTGATTTGCTCGCTCCGCAAGCCCATTCATCCATGGCGAGCTAGGCGTTGACAAGTCATGCTGGATTCCCTTCTCAGTCAGGAAAGCTTCAAACTGCTGAGAAGTGAACTCCCCGCCTCGATCAGTAAACAAACAACCAATGCGTTTACCGTGAACATTCTCCAACCAAGCACAGAATGCCTTGAACTTAGGAAACGCTTGCGATTTCTGCTCGAGCATAAACACATGAATGTACCTGGAAAAAGAGTCAATTAGAACCATGAAGTACCTTGCTCCACCCAAAGAGGGCGCAAGTGGACCAACCAGGTCTGCGTGCACTAGCTGGTAGGGTTTGGAAGCCTGCCTGCTAGACTCCTTGCCTTTTGGAGCAACCTTCACCTTGTTCTCTGCACAAGATACACATTTCATGTGAAACTTACAGGGTTTGATGTTCAAACCCTCAACCATCTCTGGCATCTTGGCCAGTGCCTTCCAAGAGAGATGACAAAACCTTCTGTGTGCATCGTGAATGCATCCTGCATGAAGAACTTTGTTAGTTTGTGCAACACAACAAGAATCAACATTAGACACAACAGCACCAATGTCCTCATAAGTTATACAGAACAAGCCATCCATAAACTTTGCATGCAAAATGTCCTCTTTGCCTTTTCTGATGACACAGACGCTCCTCTTGAAGGAAATCTCAAAACCACGCCCAGTCAGCTGTGGGACACTGAGCAAATTGTCTGCAGCGCCTGGAACATACAGTACATCTTTGATGGTCGTGTGCAGACTTGCCAGTTTCACAGTCCCTTCTCCTGCAATCCGCAATGTCTTTCCGTCAGCCAGGTGGATCTCACCTTCTTGAGGTTTGAAGGAGATAAAGAGATGGCGGTCTTTTGAGACATGGCGGGTACAGCCTGAATCAACAACAAACCTGGCTTTGGCCTTTGGAGCAGCCTTTGCAGCAAGCAAAACCTTGTTTTCCACCGGCGTGGGCTTTTGCAGCTTGCCCCCCTGCTCCTGGCCATCAGACTTGCCTTTAGCCTTTGGTGAAGCTGTGCCAGCAAACAAAACCTTGTTTTCCACCGGCATGGGCTTTTGCAGCTTGCCCCCCTGCTCCTGGCCATCAGACTTGCCTTTAGCCTTTGGTGAATCTGTGCCAGCAAACAAAGCCTTGTTTTCCTCTGGCTTGGGCTCTTCACCCTCCCTCTGCTCCTGGCCATCTGCAGGCATCTGCCTCTGTTTACCTTTGCCCTTCCGGCCTCTGCAAAGGCGATGACCTTGGCTCCCATGAGAAACAGAGCCTTCAGCTGCCGACTCCTTGGCTCCCCCTGGAGGCTGGAATGCTGCCTGGGATGACGTGACAGTCAGCTCCCCCTGCAGCTTGCAACCGGTGCCCTCGGCATCCCTGCATTCACTCGCATTCTGGGAAACAGCCAGGACCTCTGATGCAGTCAAACTCTGGGCTGGGATGACTGGCAGATGGGCTATCTTCAAAGCATGCCACATCTTACGTGCAGTGGAGTTTCCAGCAAGCATTTTAATTTCCTCCAGAGAGACGGACAAGACTATTATGTCTATCGCCCTTAAATTCTGGGCTCTCCATCTATCTGTCAGAGGAACAGGAGGGGCTTCAGACACAGTATGCCACACTCCAAACTGACGCAGCAAACTCTCACACCACACAGCCCAGGCTTTATAATTGTGCCGATTTAGCTTTGGGCACTCAGCAGCCTCAGAAGCTTGGAAAAACTCCATTCCAGGTTTCTACTTGAGCCGTGAGCCTTTATGCCTTCAAAAACGTCTTATCTCGGCAGCTCATTAATCACGAAGCCTTTGGCGCGGCTCCCAGATCCATTAGTCTAGCCGGACATCTGAAGCCCTTGCCGCGGCAAACAGAAAAGCCTTACTTTCGCTTTTCCTCCACATACCTTTCAGCAGTCCGTCGCAGTCTTACTCTCCTGTAAGTGCCGTGAATCTGGGCCCGAAACCTATTGTTGGGATACTGCCAGGGAGATAAAGTCCATCAAGGCCCCCAAGCCGTCTGCCGGACGATCCATCGACCTCCCGTAGGCACACAGCGACATGAGTTTCTAGAAAATATCTTGCCACATTCCAGAGCTCATGCACGCTCTATCAGCAGATAATGCACAGCCAAAAGTTGCAATCAGGAGAGCATTATTTACAAGTTTATTCAGCGTTGATCAGAACACAGAAAAACATGACTGCCTGCTTTAGTGTCCGCGACACAGAGAGAAAACGAAAGCAACAGAAAACATAAACATCCTGTGAACAGGAAATACGCAGACTCTGTGACTCACAGCCTGCTCCCTTTTAAGGTGGAACGGAAATATCCTAACACTTGGTAGGTTCGACATTGAGCTCTAACCCATGTCCAGTCAGCTTCAGAATGAGTTTTCTGCCACCGATGCTCTAGCCGTCTCAGCGATTGTTTCCTCGCCCTCAGCTCCGAAGAAAACCACGGGGCTGTCAGAGAGGGCGCTTTGGAGCCAGACAGTCGATAGCCCTGGTTAACTCTGCATTCCAGTGGGCCACCAGGGAATCAGCTGAAAGGCCACCAACATGGGATAAAGCATCCCCTACCACTCTCTGGAAACCATTTGGATCCATTAAGTGGCGGGGGCAGACCATGCAAATTGGTCTGACCTCCCTGCAGAGGGGAAGGGTCGCGGAGAAGTCCAGTTGCACCAGGAAGTGATCTGACCATGGCACTTCTTTTGTTTCACTTTTACTTAGTGTCAGATCACCCACGACACTTGAGGTGAACACCAGGTCTAAGGCATGTCCGTGACTATGAGTTGGATCAAACTTATTCAGGGACAGCCCCATGGAGGCCATGCTTTCCACGAAATCCCGAGCAGCCCCTTGTAAGGTCGTGTCAGCATGGATGTTAAAATCCCCTAGGACAACCAAACTAGGTGTCTCCAGGAAAACATCCGCCATGACCTGAAGCAGCTCGGGCAGGGAATCCTTGGCGCAGCGGGGAAGTTGGTACACCAAAAGGAATCCTGTACTGCCCCTATTGCCCAACTTCCAGAACATGCACTCAAAGAACTGGGTCTTCCCAGTAGGATGCTTGATGCAAGCTAGTGACTTCCTAAAAATCACTGCAACCCCCCCTCCCCGCCCACATGGCCTAGGTTGCTGTGCACAAGAGAAACCTGGTGGACAAGCAGCAGCTAAGACAGGCCCACCTGCTTCATCC